ATATATATATATATGGAATAATGGAATATTTGTATAATTTAAATATAAGTCACAATGTTGTTACTGATTTCTGTTTTACTCCATATTTTACATACTTCTCCTGTGATGTGATTTTCATGCTCGTTTTCATTTGGGAAAGAATAGTAAATTCGATGTTGCACTTTAACATTTTCTTTCAAATTTAGCTTATTCATTAGTGTCTTTGCAACGTTCCTCTTCTCCCACTCTGTGTCTTTTTGGCTCTGTGGGTATTTATTTAGAATTATTTTATTCAACACATTAATTCAACACATAAAAGGGAAAAAGAAGATTGATATAAAGTGTATTGTAGCCGTGGCTATTTATTGCATACTATTTTATATATATACATTTATGAACACAAAATATCAAATATGGATCATCATTCAGGACTAAATCATTGCATTTGTTATATAAATAATCTTATTATTATTATTATTATTATTATTATTATTATTATTATTATTATTGTTGTTGTCCATATTAAATTAAATATAGTAATATGTATATAATCATAGCTAATTCCAGAGTTTTATGTTTTAAATTTAGATAATGTAAGTATGAATGCTAAAACTTTTTTTAAAAAGCAGATTGCAAAGAAAATTTTAGAAATATGCTAAACATTACTTATGGATAAATAAGCTAATGAAGAATATTAGTTTTTAGGTTCAACTATATAAATTATAAAAACTGAAAAACACCAATTGTGTTATTTTAGAGCTACAACTTAAAGGGATGTTTCCATTTTGCAGGAATGGTAGTACTTTACAGTATGTGCAACAGTACCCACAATCAATGTACTAACCTGAAACTCAGTGAAGAATGCAACATGTCGCATTTCGATATGTAAGGGACAGTTTTTTTTCTTTCCCATTCTTGTGTTTCGCTCCTTAATCCCTTGAGGATGATCCTGTTTTTTCTGTCGTAGAACAAGTGATAATTGATTTTGATATATTTAATACATACATTACTAGTTTATCATCTTATCACATTTCATTGAAATTTTAGTTATGATATTACCCTTGCTAGTTTTTCTGCCCTTAACTTCTCTTTCTTTTTCTTATTAGAACCACTATCTGGACCCATGTGGCAGAGCAGCTTGCAGCGTCCAATGACCGTAAAGGGAACTCCTGAGTAGTGGATTGCAACGCCTTCATTCTCATTTCTTGATGTTGTTGCCCAAGTTATTCTTGTGATGTTAATATCTGAAATGAACAATACTAGAAATGTAGTGCAAAAAAACCAAATGGTGACCTGAAAGCGTGGGGTGTAGACTGTCGATTGGGAGGTGTGAGGAGGGTGTTATCCCTATTACAAGTCTCTTATACAAATCTAGATGTGTATAAGAGACAGGGGCTGTGCAGAATCATTTACATTGCCATAAACAACCATAACAACAGGACCTGTGTCATACGCCCGACATATTACAATCATCCAAATGTACTGTAGTCCAAACTTCACTTGATTTCTCCCTAAAAAGTAATAACAACATTTAGTAATAGAAAATCATTTTGGTAACTGAAAGTCATGTTTCATAATTGTTTTTAAAAATAAAGAAGCTCTGTTTAAAGTTTTTTTTTTTCACTTAATACGTGCTTAATTTTTTCTGATTCTTACATAAAATTATCTGGTATATGCTATGTTAATTCAGTTAGGCTAAAAAAATAATTTACCAGCTTATATTCATTCCCCCTCATTGATTTTTGGTCTTGCCTCACAATTCTGTATTTTATTATAAATAATATTAAAAATAACCAAGAATTATTATTTCAGTAGACTTAATTTGTTTTTTTTTTTTTTTTTTTTTTTTTTTTTTTGGCTTTTATGAACTTTGAAATCAGTTATTGTATTTAATACCTTAAATATGCAATACAAATTTTCATTCATTATAGAAAAAAAAAATAGAAAAGGCCTCTTAATGATTCTGTATAAGTTGGTCGTTATTTTAATTAGCCTTTAATTAAGCGTATACAGGATGTGTTTTCAAACATCTCATTGTTCTGAATAGGCTGTCCGGTTTAAACAGTCATTTTTTAAAATTTAATGTGCCAAAATCTTGATTTAATTGCAGAGAAAATACTAAATAAATGTCATGAAAGCCGAGGTCAATACAACTACTGGGCAATGTTATTATTAGTTTGATACCACCCCTGTTATAAATAATATTTTGAAACTCAAGAGAAGTGACCTACAAATCTTCACACAGATTAGAAATTTCTCATTTAATACCTACTGAAGGAGACACTGATTGATCTAGGATATACTGTAGACACCGTCATAAAAAAAATCACATTCAATGTGCTACTACAGCATAGGACCAGGCATTCACACTCTGAGAAAAGGTAACATTGAGTCTGATGATAATTCACCCGAATAATGCCGATGTGTCAATGCTCTTGGTTCCCTTCTATTGATAATAGCCCTAATCTGTTTTGATTATAATTGACAGTAAAATAAACTTACATTGATTTCTTCAGATATGATGTGTTTCCAATGCAAATTTGATCTGAGCGTGGTTTGCAGGACTTTCCCGCTCGCATTCAACATCGCGCGTATACGCCAAATACGCGATGAAGAGGATTATTCGGCGGCAAAAGAAAAAAAAAATAGATTTGTGTTGACCATTGGCTAGGCTTATATATTTACCAGATGTTTTGTAGGGCCGAGGACCTCGTAAGTTAGGTAACTTGACAGGTAAGCCTAGAGTTGGTTGGGACGTGTCTCTGGGGAAACACTTTACCATTGTCCATCCTAGCGTTAACTGCTCTTAAAATCCCCTCCATCCTCCCCATACATCCCCCATATTTTTGACATAGATCAGCGTTTTCACCCAGACTCAGGGTTGGCTAGTTAAATTATATGCCTGTGATTATAGGCCTATGTACGGTATACCCCATATTTGTTATTTTAATTAAAATTATTGTAATACATACGATACTTTACTTAGTCTTCTATGGTAAAATCATTCTTGTGATAACCGTTTTACAAGTAATACAAAATGTTACATGCATGTTATTTGACTATGTATATGGTGAACAAATTGTTTTAATATGAATTTATGTAGTTAAGAACATTTTGATTATATATCTTTAATGGTTATAAGACAGTAATGGTCGTATCTAGTTTATGGTATTATCTCGGCCAGTGCTTTAACCAAACCTGTTTTATTTTCGTCATAATAAATGACAATTTCCATCCGATGATGGTTGTTCTTGTATCTTCATTTATTTGCCTGTGTACTCGCCGCTAGGGACACAAACATTTTAATAGTACATCAATACAAACAAATATGTTTTTTCCAGTACACATATTCAATAAAATTCGGTAAACGACTGACGCAAACAATCAAATAATGTAGACGATTTTATTTGTTTAATGTCGTCCTAATAGCGAGTATATTTGAAGTCATTAAAACATTATAAAAAAAAAGCACTGTTTCCTTAATATTTAGGTAGAATAGGCATGGGAAAATAACTTAACATACTTAAAACGATTTAAAACAAGACGATATTAATTTATAAAATAAAAACTTTGATATTATTACTAGACTTCAGATTTACATAAATTATTAATAAATCGGCCCGGTTAATTATGTTCAATAGGCCTACTTAATAATAATAATAATAATAATAGATAAATTTATATAGGGTAAATAGACGAGGTCTTTTTAAACATTAAAAAACGCCTATATCTGGTCGCTTATGGTGGATGATTCCTTGATCTGTTCTACATTTTATTGCAACGAAGTAGTACAATATAACAATATTTCCTTCAGGACAACTTAATTGGTTTTTTTTTTCTACATTTTGCTATCCGTGTGATCAATGCCTCTACACGGTGTGATTAAACCAGGGCACTTCGCCAACAACAAGATCAGGAATGATGGCGCAGCACTACTGGAATTATGCATGACGTCAACATATACGAAGCCACGCCCCTCGGCTGAACCCGTTGTATTTAGCAACTACCCGCGGTGCAGTACTGGGTAATAAAACATATACAAGCGTTAGTTGGCGTCCTACACTATCTGCGTAGAGCGTATCGTTTTTTGACGCTCTCAATGAGCGTTGTTGGCTCTCTTGTTCTATTTATACTCTTTGGCCACACCCACGTACAACCACCAAGCATTGTAGGACGGTGGATACACCGTACATAAAACATATAATATATCTAGAACAATTCCCATACGGACACAACCAAAAACATTCAACGAAAGCAACGTGAAAATAAGCTACGGCTACATGAATATGAATTCCATCATCAGGGGACACAGCTTAAGAAAATTAAATAGCCCTATTACAATATAAATTTTCACTTCTCTGCATATGACTTCTGCATTTTATACATCTACCCAGTTTTTATTGTTCATAAATGTTAATGATAAATGAATCATAATTATATTATATTAGGCTCATATATTACCCAATGTTTTCTATTCCATTATATTTATCAGTATCATTGTAGCTTACCCTCCTCAATATCAGCTACATTGTTTTTTACACTTTTTAAACAAATTATCTTGCTCCCTGCATATATCACTATCTCTGTGTCTCCATTATTGTATATCTCACTAATCACCCACTTTTATTTAAAGCCGATTATTTATTGTATTATCTGATCTTATCTGATTCGTTTCCTGACTAAAATATTTTGTTTTCTACTGTATAACCACTCAGCGTTTTTGCATCACTATACTACCATAGGGGGAAACGTTAACAATGGAAAGGGTTAAAAATAATACCTTAAGGCGAAAATACTGCCGCTAAGGGGAAATTTTAACAACGTTAAGGCGAAATGTAGACAAAGGATTTTTTACCCTATGAGTTAGTTAGGAGTAGTGTATATATATAATATATAACTAATAGATAAGAACTTCCCAAAGGAGAACCCACTAAACAAGATCTTTAACAGAAACACGGTGAAAGTCAGCTACAGCTGTATGCCGAACTTTGCCAACGTTATCAAATCTCACAACGCAAAAACTGCT